CTCCGCGGAAGAAGCTTCTGATCTCTTCGCAAAATTCTTCAAGGATGTTTTTTCGACTACCCCTCCCGCTCATTCTCCGGATGATCGTCGTGACTGGATGAGCATGGAAGAGGTGATGAAAGTTCTTTAATCTGTAGATCCTTCTAAAGGCCCTGGTCCAGACTGTTTGCCGCCATCGGTCATTAAGAAATTTTCTGCATCTCTCGCTTCACCTGTGCCGATTATCTTCAATCGTTCGCTAGTTGGTGGTGTTTTCCCCACAATGTGGAAGGTTGCGTCAATCACACCTATTAACAAAGCTGGAAACATCCACAACGTTGAAAATTATCGCGGAATTTCGATTCTAAGCTGCCTCCCAAAAGCTCTGGAGAAGATCGTATATCAAGCGGTTAGGCCAATAATTGCCGAACATCAGCACGGCTTCGTGAGGAAACGCTCTACAACAACCAACTTAATGGTGTTTGTCAACTCGCTGATCAGCTCCATTGAAAAACGACGACAAGTTGATGCGATCTACGTGGACTTCAGTAAGGCGTTGTTCGATAGAGTTCCACATGTGCTTGCAGTGGACAAAATGAGGTGTATGGGATTACCTAATTGGATCACGATGTGGCTACAATCTTACTTAACTGACCGCTCAGCCTATGTGAGCATTAACGGTGTTAATTCGCCTAGTTTCGAGATACCCTCTGGTGTTCCCCAAGGTAGCCATTTGGGGCCTTTAATTTTCATCCTGTTCGTGAACGATCTGTGTAGTCGACTGTGTTCTTCGAAACTTATGTTCGCCGATGACTTAAAGATCTTTCGTACAATTAAGTCAAGACTTGACTGTTGCGCACTCCAGAAGGATATTGATTCCCTTTTGCGCTGGTGTACATTGAACGGTATGAAGGTTAATGTCACAAAATGCTGCGCAATATCTTTCAGCCGTTCACGCGAGCCCTTACGACATAACTATAGGATAGGACTCAGTGGTTTGCTCTTCGTTTCTTCAGTTAAGTATTTGGGTGTTATCATCGACTCTAAAGTCAGATTCAATGAGCACATATCCATGATAACTGCTAAAGCATTCGCCAAATTAGGTTTCTTGAAACGAAACACAAACGCATTCCAGGACATCTACGCGCTGAAATCACTATACTGTGCTCTCGTCCGCAGTCTTCTAGAGTATGCTGTTGTTGTGTGGGCACCCTTTTACGCTATTCAAGCTAACAGAATCGAAGCCATTCAGCGAAACTTCGGAAGCTACGCTTTACGTGTTCTGCCCTGGAACGATTCGGTAAATTTGCTGCCTTACGAAGAACGGTGCAGGCTGATTGACCTGGACACGTTGGCAGCAAGGAGGAAACTACTTCAGCGACTCTTCGTGTTTGGATTGTTTAACGGTGACGTGGATTGCAACTCTCTTGTGAGCCAAATCTACATCAATGCTCCTCAAAGAGTTCTACGTAGTTACACGCTTCTGTGGCAACCTACCCATCGAACCAACTATGGATTCAACGAACCGTGGACTTTGTGCTGTCGTGTGTTAAATGAAACGTTTGATGTATATGATTTTAACATTAATAAGTCTACTTACAGACATAGAATTCGACACCTAGCCTAGAAAATATCTGTACAACATTATGTTGAAGATTTAATTAAATAAAGAAACAGATGATTCCAGAAGGGCTGAAACGCCAGATGATTTGTCTAAAAATGGATATGGCAACCAGGAAAGGCCGCCATATTCTAGGAGTTCTCATTAAGTTCATCAAAAACGGACAGATTACTACCCGAACGCTCGGATTCATCGAGGTACACAGAACACACACTGCTGATAAAGGAAAAAGTGATGAAGATATTGACCAATTTTTAGATCACTATTGATCAAATGTATACTGTGACTACGGATAATGGTTCCAACTTCTTAAAGGCTGTCAGACTACTGCACGCACTACTATTTATGGCAGATGATGACGATGGTGAGATTGGCTGGAATGACGACGGTGGTGGTGAACGTTTCTGAAACCGAACTCCTTGATCAAGAAAACGTATCTGGAAGTGCCGTTGACCAAGAAGCTAAACAAGAAGATAGACACGAACCAATGTAGGAAACAGAACAAGGAGCAGGAAAGGATGCTGAACAAATAACACGACATGAAGATGAACAGGATGCGGTAGAGAGATACGACGACGAAGAAGAAGACGGTCTAGAGGACGAAAGTGAAATGCGATTTCTTGCGGTATCCGAAGCCTTAATTCAAAGTGTTCGATGTGCCGCCCATACTCTTCAGTTAGCGGTACATGACGCAATCAAAAAGCTAAAGGTGGAATCAAAACTTGCCCGTATCCGTGAGGTAGCAAAATCACTGCGACTGAAAAAGTACCGCAAGATAATCGAAATGAACAAACAACCGATACCGATCCTTGGCAATGATATGCGCTGGGGTTCATCATGTTCAATGGTAAGCTCTATGATTATATTTCTGCATATTTATCTGTATTAACTTCTCTCTTCATTTTTCCTCATATCACCAATTCTTATCCGGTGAAGGAAAATCTAAGAAAGGGTATTTTATGTTTTTCATTTATTTATTTTTCTTTTTCATTTTTTATCAATATGTGTTAAGGGTCAATACTTTGAGGAGCACGAAGATTTCCTACGAGAGCTGATGGGCGAAAATGATGATGCTGCTATGGGCAACGATTTGTGGAAATTCGTGAAGGAGTTTGCCTGTGTTCAAATCTGCTTTTATTGCAACAAAGAAACTACAGGAGGAATCGTTGGTGATGGGTGATTTGATGATTATATGGCTTGACTGGATTCTCCAACTCGAAGAGTGTGTGTCTAGCATGGCAAAAACATTGATTGAAACCATGAAAGATCGGCAACAAGCTCTTTTTGAGAACAAGGCTTTCCTTACGGCCATTAACACTGACCCCAGATTAAATTACGCTAGAACAAACTTTTTTATCGGAAGAAGAGAAGGCCATAGCGATTGACCATTTGCTTCAGCTTTGGGAGAAACTGAAGTAGAAGGTCGAGGAACAAGCAACAATGCCTTTGACATTACCCTCTACATCAACAGCTCCAGCAACGCGAGTGGAGGCAATGCTCACGGCAAAAACGGCAAATATTAACGACAGGAAGCAGAGTGTTGAAAGCTGAAACAACTGTCCATGGGCCAGAGGGTTAGTTCTACTGAAAACGTGCTGCTTTATTGGGAAAGTTTGAGAAAATGCGACCCAGAACTATACGCACTTGCGTAAATCACTTTGGCGGTCGCAAGCGTCTGTAGAGTGCTCATTTAGTGCACTTTCCTTGGTTCTTACCGACAAAAATCTTGCAAATATTTTGTTCGTTAAGCTTAACCGTGAGTTGTTTGATCAGAAATAGCTTTTTTTCCCTTGATTTGTATTCCGTGCTGAGCATCAATGCTGCCGACGCCAGAGAGGCAGCTCCCACACCTGGACCCTACCTATCGACCCATCAACTCATGAACCGGGGACCAACGGCTTTACTTCCCGAAGGAAGGCGGGATCAGAGATGTTATGCCTCAGAATATCCCGGCGGCACCGACTGGGATTGAACCCAGGCCTGTTGGGGTGAGAGATAATCACGCTTACCACTTCACCACCGGCGCCGCTTATCAGAAATAGCTGTTTTTCCGTAAATGTATGCATATCTGAACCGGCGTATAAATAAAATAAAATGTAAACTTTAAAAAAAATCAAAATAGCGTCATTCGTCAAAATGGCGCCATACATCGATTTCCAATCCCTACCCGTCATCCCGTTTTCAAAAATACCCATATTGTGGGATATTTGCAGTATTTCCCTGTTTTTTTTTTCAAACCGGAAGTCGCCATCTTGGATTTCAAAATGACGTCAGACATCAATTTACGGTCTCTACACGTCATTCCGATTCCAAAAATATCCATATTGTGTGGTATTTGACAGTATTTCCCAGTTTTTCTCTAACCGGAAGCCACCATCTTGGATTTGAAAATGGCGTCAGACATTGATTTTCGGTCCTTACCAGTCTTGTAAGCGGTCACGGTAGTCGACACATTTTCTGTGATAATCGACTGCTTTTGCCTCCGAAACTTGCAAAACAAGCTATCATAGTACAGTACCAAACTAAAATGTCATATGTCAGGTTCTGTCATACGAAACTGTCACCGAAGATCGTCACGAATGTATGCATTTGAGTTTTTCTCATAATAAGCGCTGCTGTTGTGCTTGTGTGAATTCTGAAAATAGCAAGCAATGATGTCTTAATAATAACATTTCTGATCAGAAATGATTTAATTTACACCAAATTGAGGAATTAGAACGAAATCACGCATGTGGTGAGTTGGTAAACGTGACTGCTTTCTAACACCCCAATAGGTCTGGGTTCAATCAAAGCCGAGGTCGGTGGGATTTTTCTTAGGCATACAAATCTCTGGTCACGTCTTCCTTCGGAAGGTAAGTAAAGCCGTTGGTCCCGGCCCATGTGTGTTGAATGGGTGCGATATCCAACGCAGGTGTAGAAGCTGCCTTTCTGCACATTCGATTGCCGTCAATGGATTTTTGGGAGGTTAATTAAGGTCGACGAAAATTTCAAATTTTACATCAGTCTCTAACACCTATTTCAGGTCATAATTCTATACAGACATTGAAAATAAATATGAAAGTGGTGCATTTTTTTCGACCAACACTGTACCGATACTGGTCAGTTGACCGCCAACGCCGACGATATACCTAAGTACATTTCTGCAATTGTGTTTTGTGTGTGTGCGCGAAGTGAAACCAACCCGGAGAATGAGGCCAAAAAGTTGCAACACCGATTGACAGTCGTCAGTTTCATCTGCTTCCGCTTCCTCTCCTCTTTTTCACTTTGCCACTTCCGGCTCGGATGGCAGCTTTCGTATGCCCTTTTTTCTCCTCTCAAGAATGTACCTACTTACTACATACACGGAACATACAACGATGCAACATTTCTAACTTAGTTTTCTCCTCTTTTCCCTTCCCAGATCAACCGTCGCGAGCCGCAGTCGCCGCTAGAAAATGAATCTCGGTCTATGGGGATGCTTGGTGCCCTGTGGACTGCAATACTGGTGCGAGAGTAAAAGCGATACATGCATTACGGAGATGGGGGCGACGGCATCAACTGATTGTCCCGGCGGTCCCGGCGGGATTCCGGGTCTGACGGGTGCTATCACGACGGCAGCTGGTGCTACGACCACGACACCCCTCACGGCAGCCGGCGGCGGCGGAGGTGGAATGGGCGGAGCATACGGGCCCGTCGGTGGGCCACCCGTTATCGTGCGGGAACGACGGAAGAAGGTCACCGGTTTTGCTACACTGAAGAAGAAACTGATTCGGCGACGGCGATCGTCAAAAGCATGCGACCATGGCCGGGTGCTGCGGGAGTTCGTGTCCAGCTGGAGTCCGATGGAACTGTCGGCACTACTGGAGGAGTACGAAGCCCTGGCGGCACTGAAGGACCTCTCGGTCCAGGCTGAGCTGGCAAGGCCACCAGCAACCACGTTCAAACAGGATCTCGCCAGTTTGTACGACTACAAACACTGCACCGACTGTGATCTGGTGTTTCGGGGAACGGTCTTCCCGGTACACCGTGCACTACTATCCGCTCGTTGTCCGTACTTTCGAGATCTGCTAGCCGGGTGCCCGGGCTACGGGGCACGTATCTGTTTGGAACTGCGCTCCTCACCGGTGGACGTTCCGATGTTTTCGTCGCTGCTGAGATATCTGTATACAGGAGATTTATGTACACACGATCCGACCATAGATGTAAGTCTGCTACGTAGATTAGGAGAAGATTTCGGTACACCGAATCCGCTAGAAAACGATCTGCGTTACCTGCTCGAAACTGGGGACTACGCAGATGCCGCCATAGTGTTCACCTCGGAGGGTGGCGACTACCATCGGCCCGATTCTGGCAGCTCGGAGTACGGTTTCCGGCCGAAACTGGAGCTACCTTGCCATAAGGCGATCCTCAGTGCACGATCACCATTCTTCAAGAATATGATCCAACGACGGATCCGTAACATCAACGAGGATCATCAACTGCACGGAACGGACCGTTCGCTGCATGTTCCGACACGGATCGTTCTGGATGAAACTGTCATTCCGAAGCGCTACGCTCGTGTCCTGCTGCACGCGATCTACCTGGATACCGTTGACCTGTCGTTGATCCTGCGTGGAAACGGATGCGGCAACGGTGCCGGCAGTCTCGGCGAAGTACAAGCTCTTACCCACACCGGCCGTACCCGACCTTCACCGCTGGAGGAGGCCATGGAACTGTACCAAATTGGGCGATTTCTCGAGTTGGACATTTTGGCTCAGGGTTGCGAAGATCTGATTCTCGAATGGCTGTCGCTGGATACGCTCGCTACGGTTTTGCGTTGGGGTGGTCAACCGCATGGATCTGCCTGGGTTTATCGCCAAGCTTGCCACTATTTGCGCGAGGAGTTCTCGGCCATTGTCGGTTCTCCGGTGCTCTTCCAGCTCGACAAATCACAACTGATCGAAGCGCTTCAGAACAACTTCCTCCAGGCGTCGGAACTGGAAGTGCTACAGGCTGTGCTGAAGTGGGGCGAACAGGAACTGATTCGGCGGATGGAGGATCGCGAACCGAACCTGTTGAGTCACACTGCACACTCGGTAACGCGGAAAGGAATTAAGAAGCGAGACCTGAGCGATGTAGAGTTGCGGGAGATTCTATCGGAGCTGCTTCCGCATGTTCGCATGGACCACGTACTGCCACCGAGTAACGAGATACTGAACCAAGCAATCCGGCGGGGTTTGGTCAGCACTCCACCGTCGCACATGATCGGAGACGATCGCGAGAGCTTGCGGATCAACGCTTGGATCCGGGGCGGCAAGAATCACGGTTTGTTCGTGCGGCCCCGGTTGTTTATGCCGTACTACGAGGAGGTTAAGGTGTTGCTGGAGGATCACATCGCATCGCAACAGATCGAAATGTTGCGCATGCGACGGTCCCGCCACATGCCGGACATTCCGGACACGTTGTATATGGTGTCCCGACTGAATAGTAATGCTAGTGGAAACATCGGCGGTGGAGGTACGGCCGGAGTGGACGTTGTGGCTACAGCGGCTGCGTCGATTCCGGCTCCGGACCCAAGCGCAATGGAAGCCATGCAAAAGAGGGAACAAAAGCTTCGACAGGTCCCGAGCTGCCAACGGGCGTTGACGCTTCCGCTGTCTAGCCGGAACGAAATCAATCGTCAGATCAGGCTGAGGGTGGTTCGGGAGTTCAACTTTCCGGATGAGATAGCGGAGCTGTTGGAGAACTCCAACTGCTACTGCTTGGATGCCGATGGCTCCACACCGAAAGCTCAGGGCGACGATATCCATGCGAGCAATCAATCATTGGACGAGGACACCACCCCGCCACCTTCGCCGGCACTGCCAAGTGATATTATTCCACAGAACGTGGCCTGTTATGGCCGCAACATGACATTCCCCCGGCAACAACCTCAACCACCGTCGCAAGTGATGCCGCATGGATCTGGAGCCACCGGTGGAGGAGGAGATCTGACTGGGGTTGGTGGCATGGGAGGTAGATTGCATCATCTGCCGGGAGGTATGCTCGGACCGAGTCCAAGTATTATAGGAACTCATCGACGTCAGGAACTGCCATCGTTAATCCCCGGTGGAGACGTGGTAGCCTATCGGCTGTCGGCACCGGCTGGAGATCACTCCGGCGAAGCTGGAGCCTGCTCGGAAGGACACCTCTCGGACATAATGCCGGACGTGGCAATGGCGACCGCGTCCCTCGGACAGCTACAGCTCGGCGACATGCCCGAGAGTCTCCATCTGGATCTGGGCGACGGACCAAGCCACATGATCGGGGCGGCGGGCTCCATGGGTTTACACAACCTACCGGTAGGTGGCACCACGGTGCGAAACATTTTCCAAAACCTTACAAATGTTTCCCTTCGTTTGCAGCATCATCGAATAGCGACACCTTCGCCGAGCAATTTCCATCACTACATGACCCGGAGCCATCCACCGTCCGGTTCGCTGGGTAGTGGTGGAGGAAGTGGTCACAGCGGCGATGGCGGAGCCGAACGAGGCGGCATGGGTGGCGGAAGACTTCCGAGTTCCCTCGGCGTATCTTCCCAGCAGGGCCAACCGGGAGCATCGGCGGCATCCTCATCGTCGTCGTACTCGCAGCGTTCTAACTCACCGTACACCTTACATCGAGCGAGTCCGGGCCTGCCGCACAGCTCATATCACACTGGGCCCCGGTTATAGAGACGGCTGCAAGTATTTCCCGACAAACGTCAGCTGTTCAGTATGCCTTTCTGAAAGGAGCACACTGGAGAGGGGGAGAGAGAACGAGCGAGCGAGCGAGCGAGTGTGAGCATGTTTGTGTGAAGGCGTACGTGCGAGTGAACGAGTACGACACATATGGGGCGAATATGTTTAGTTAAACGAATTAACTAAATTAAAACAAAGTAGGAGAAGTGAAGCAAAAACAAATACAAACTACTACAACTGTAAAAGGAAGGTAATTAATTACAACAAATACATAGATATTTGAATTAAGAGTTAAGTATTTCATTAATAATAACTTCAAGAAGCAGAACAACACTACAATGGCAAGGATATAAAAGTAATAATAGTACTAAAATAAACACAAAACAAAACAAACAAAACAGTAAGAATAATAATCGAAGACTTTTATATTTAACAAACAAATAGGAGAAAACCCACAGAAAACGAAAAGAAGGTCGACAGAGAAAGTGAAGCGAATTGAAAGCAAAGAGGAATGAGGCAAAACACACTCACACAGAGACACATGGCATATGATATGATGCAACTAGGCAGTGGAGAAAGCACGATTGAAGGGGCAGAACAAAACAGTATCCGGCTTGTATGTAGTAGTAATCGAATTTTTGTATTCGTTTTCTTTCGCGTACGAAAAATAAACAAAAGAAACAAAATAATAGACGAATGAGCGCGAAGGTGAATGCGAATCGAACCAGGACTAAAAAATAACAATCGTACATTTTCCCCTTGTTTTAGAAACTAGGCCGTGCCTTTAATTTATTCTATTTTAATTTTTAGCAAACTTTACACCCCTTCCACCATCCTCGTGAATATAATCAGATGTTTTAATAAGATGAAGTTTTAACGCTATTTATTTATCTTTTTCGCGATCTGTTTTTTTTTTTAACTTTAGGTTATCAGTAGGAATTTTTTCTCAATTGGGAAGCAAGGCAAGCAAAACAAGTGTTATTATGATTAAGTTGAGGAGATTTACTCTCTTGTGTTCCCACTAAACACACATTGGAATTTGGATGCTAACGAAATGAGCACAAGCGCGCGAGCGAGAATGGGAGATGAATGGAAATCAATTTCATGTTTTCGAATATTCGTAACATCAAAAGAAAAGAAAAAAAAAACGTAAACACAAGATGAACAAAAAAAAACTCTGTATCGTACGTGTATGTATAATGACTTATTACTATAATCGAGAAAAGTTTCAATCCAGCAACGGAAACCGCGACAGCACCAGCAAACGCAACAACCAGAACTGTGAGGGCGCGTAGGAGAGGAGGGCTCCAATTGAAATGGAATCAGTTTGATCTAGGTCGGAAGTGCACTCAGATTTGTTTGCTATATTTTTGGATAACACAATCCAACGGCGTATTGCTGAATCTTTCGAATCGGATTCTCCATTTGGAAATATAGTATATTTGAAAGGAAGATCCAATCCGGTGGAGTCAGGAATGGAATGATCTCATGATTCACACAAAAAGCATCCGTTTTTATGTCCTTCGTAGTAAAGCAATCCGCTTTTGATTCGGATTTGGATTTGAGCTAATAATTATCTACGAGTCAGAAGTTGTAATTCGACGGTTTTTTTTAAAGCCATGATTGAGGATCTGAATGGAAATTTTGAATGTTTCTTAGGTGACCAGTTTCAGGCCAAATAGGATAAAAAATTCGACTTTCTCCGATTTGCATGAAACTTTCCATAATTGCGTGTTATGGGCAATCATTCACATTTTTGCTAAAGTTCGGCAATTTTGGATCTTGATTTTTTTTAAGTAGGACTACTAATTTCTATACTGGGGTTCACATTAAAAAAAATCAAAATTCAGGCATGTAACGAAAAATCCCAAACACGGACGCAACGATAGAGCGCAAATCGAACAAACGACACATTGCGCATGCTCACAAGAGCAAGAGTGAACTCAATGCTCGGTGGATCGCTCACCATTTCACCAATGAAAGGAAGGGAGGAGAAAAGCAGCGATAATAAAAACGCTTGCCAAATCGTTTTCTTCGTCATTTGCTTTCGAGTAACGGACGGATAAGCATCGGACACGACGTATGAGTGGAACAGCACGCATTGCACCAATCCGAAGACGACGCAGTGTTGCCACATTATTTCCATTTTCAATCTGTATTTTCAACGTAAGAATTCTTTTTAATCTGTTTCTGGCTGACAAAAATCTGTAAAGATTCTATAGCATGATCTTATTGCGGATCGTCGTAAATATACTTTGAGTTCATTTGAAGCTCAGAAATAGTTTGTTCATTGTTAAGAGTCTTGAAGAATGACTTAAGTTTGCTTTCTAAAGAATTAATCCTGAATCTTGATTTTTTTTAAAGCGATTTGTATATTTTTTAAAATTTTAAAAATACAAAAAAATTAAGTCCCAGTAATGAGGAATAAAACTGAAAAAACCATAATTTTATGAAGTATTAGTTGTAAAATGTTATCCTCGATGTTTCAAATTCAATTGTTTCTCAAATTCTTCTAATCATAACATTTTTTTAGATATTAGTACAGAGATGTTATGAAATAAGTTCAGATTGCTTATGGCAATAGTCTAGACTCTAGAGGTTTGTTGAGACAACTCCAGAGGCTTTGTGGAACTAGTCCCCCTTATTCTGCGCCGCGAGTGAGGTGAGGTGACTCGTTGTCACTAGTGAGGTGACACAAGTCACCGCGAGTGAGGCGACTCTCCATTTGATTTGTACGGAGAGTCACCTCACTCGCGGTGACTTGTGTCACCTCACTAGTGACAGCGAGTCACCTCACTTCACTCGCGGCGCAGAATAAAGGGGAGTATAGAGGCATTAGACAAGTGTTGGTGGCTTATGGCAGTGGTGTTCAGTTGAAGGCGGGTAACATTGCAAGCTTTATAGAGGTTTTATAGCATTCTACAAGTCCAAATCATGGTCTACAGAACCCTCATAAAACCAAAATTGTTACTAGGGATAGCTAGTTTCTACGTAAATTGAGGGGGTTAGGGTGACAAGCCTTGCATCATTGAAGCAATAATCAAATAAATTTTTAGATCTTAAACAAATATTTAGTTTCAAGAATCATGAACAATATTTTAGCTATAAAACTGCAACAAATTTTCTGAGCTCTAAATTTAAGTTAATATTCTTAAGTTGGAGATCTCGAAATATTTCCAAAGTCTCGTCGAGACTTAAGATGTATTCTGAGTTACAGAATCATAAAAAATATCTGCTGCTACGCTGAACGCCATTGAGCTGGGGTAACAAGGTCGAATTTCGGAAACTACAAGATTGTAATGAGACATTATTTTAAAAACCTTGAGCTTGAAAAAAAGCTTGAAATCTTAGATTGAAAAAAAAACTGGGATCTGTGTTGAACTTCGATGAACTTACAGGAAAAAATACAATGGAATATCGATGAAAATTAGGATAATCCAATGGTCATTCTGACGAGAACGCCTAGGGAATTCTGGAAAGTATTCTTAAGAAATTTCGAGAACACTAGAAAGTAGTTCGGAAAAGAAATTCAAAGGCTTTGTGAGGAAAGCTTCAACTAAATTCTTTAGATAATTTCAAGGTATTTACAAGTAGAATTACATGGTTTCTTTTTCCTTGATTTGTTTTCCGTATTGAGTACCAATCAGTGCAGTTAATTTTCATATCATTCGATTGAAGATGAACCAATACAACCATTCAATCAATTTTGTGAAAACGAATTCTCACATGCCCATAATTTGAAGAGCCCCTTTCATCATTTGATATACGACAGTGGAGTATGGAAGAAACCGCTGTCGGATCAATGTTTCTCAAATGAGAAGGCCCTTGGATAGCGAATAGCTGCTTTTCTCATTTTCATCAAAAATGTTCAATTGATTTTGAGAATTTACTGACGCCAGGGAGGCAGCTCCCACATCTGGACCCTAGCTATTGACCCATCAACTCAGTGACAAGGACTAACGAAGGCGTGAACTGAAATTGTATGCCTCAGAAAATCCCGACTGAGCCGACTGGGATTGAACCCAGGCCCTTTGGAGTGAAAGGCAGTCACACTTACCACGACATCACCGGCGCCTCTAAAATTACATGGTTATTCTGAAGAGTACGCAGGTTGTGAAGAAATGTTCAAGTTAATTTAAAAAAATCTCTGAGATAATTCAGAGGATAATTCAAAAAAATATCCAAAACACCACAACTTCAAGTAAATTCAGACAAGACTTTCAAAGCAATACTGACAAGAAGGTGGAATTCTGAAATTTTTTAAAAGAATTGTGAATTCGAAAGGAATCTGAACCTGACGTTGACTTGATTCTAAAGCATGGGGTGACCAGCAAATCCTGATTCGCAATATCCCGGAATATTGGCGATTTTCCCGCTTATGCGATACACATTTAAATCAAGCATTAAACCGAATGCGATTGAGTCGATTGAAGCACTCCGTTAAATAGGTAATTACCTACTAAGGCAGCAGCATTTTTCCTAGATCTTGAATTTGTTTCTGCGATCGAAGTCTTCAAAATTTGTCCGTATTCGCTCAGAACTCTATTGAGGATTTCTATTGAATGTTCTCTAAAATTTACATTAGAATCATATGATGGGGCATGCGTTTACGAAGTTTAAAAAATATGCGATGGATAAAAAGGTTGCTGACTATGTGGATTGGCAGTACTGCCGCTCTTCGCATGTCGGTCCCATAATCGTTTTTGTCAAAACTGAGTTTTTCAATTCAAATGGTCACCCATATTTTCATAACACTGAATGAACTCAACAACTTTGTTCTGAAAAAGTTTGGAAGGACAGCCAAACTTGTTGTCCCTTCTCATAAGAAGTAATGGTACGAATTAGAGAGGGCCTAGTATAAGAGAGGAGCGGGCTGGCTGGTTATGAGTCAAACGAACTGTCAAAGCCAGAGTTAATCGAGTAGCCCCTATCTTGATTGTATTGGCAGTGTTGCAAGAAATCCTCTAGGCATAGGTTGCTAAGGCAGTTTGTTTTGAATCCGCTTCTCTCTTATACTAGACCCTCTCTAGTACGAATCAAACTTAAAATAAGATTTTCTTGGCTTGCTGATTTTCGCTATAGGGACGGACATGCCAAGAGCGGAAGAGTAAGTCAACGCAGTAGGTCTGTTTTAGTTAATTGCTTAAGAATGCTTTGGAATGAGGAAGAGGTAGATGATATTTTATTAGGGACAGGAAATGGATACATTGTATATGATAGATTTGAGTAACTTGAAAGAAAGCGTAACGCTACACATATCCCTTCACAGAGTTCTTTTCAGAAATCCTGTAAAATTTTAGATTGTCTGATTCCTTGGAAATGTATTTATACAATCCAGAAATTCTATGCAGAAGACTGCAAAAAACTCACGGAATTTATTCTAAGATTCACTTCGAATTGTTTATGATCCATCAAAGAATTCACTGCAGCTTCCTTCAATAATTCTATTGACGACGCTTGCACTAAATCCACTGCCTGGCTGTCACCCTGTTAACAGAGGAGCGTGTGATGCCGCTGATTGCAGGATTGTAGCCATTGATCCTACACGAAGACTTCGATGAACAATTCTTTACTGAGTGCGACGGCCTGAGGCAGTTGAAGCGCAGTCTTGACTTCTGCACTAATGCCCTACGGTCAACGACGCTAAAGGCCTTGAAGGAGTCACACTGACAGATTTGATGTTGTTCCGAAAGAGCACTTAGGGCACAGCTGGGGTGCAATGTGAAAACTTTGAAACATCTTCCCTATCGGCTTCGCTTGATCCTTCTGAATACCCTTTTTCACAGTTTCCGGATTCGTAAAGGTCTTCCGCGTGAACGAGGAACTTGTCACGAGGGCATCGCAACGGTTTTCGAGGAATTTCAGGAGCTCTTGAAACGTAGGATTCTGCATATCGATGATTTTTGTGGCCTACTGAGAACGTGTTTCCTTGTCGATTTTTTCCCAAAAGGAGGTGAATGAGCCACGGGTCACGCAATTCGTACTGTGCGCCCATAGCACTCAGTTGCCTCATAACTTCCTCGGATGTCGTTACTAGTTTCAGAAGGCTACTCGGGTTCATAGATGACACGGCTGGCTGTTCAAAGAACTTCTTCACTAGCGAGAAAACGGTGTACTTATGTTGATCATATCGTTCCACTAGCTTGTCCCACACTTGATTGTAATTCGCATCCGTGATAGTAAACGAGCTCACCAATGCCTAAGTCTCCCCGTCAGGGTAGATACTGCAGCTTTTGTGAGCCACGCAACGTCTCCTCTGTCGTGAATGGTACTAAAAAAAGGTCCTTAAAAGATCGCCAGTCATTGCGGTCACCCTTGAAGACAGGAATGTTGATTGGAGGGAGTCGTACATTGAGCATTGGTTCAGCTGCAGTGGCACGAAGTGATGCTTGTTGTAACCCTCGTCAAGGGTGACAATTATCATATTTAGAATTTGCTGAAATCTCTTAAAATGTCCATGCCCCTTCAGAATTGTCTTAAAATTCTGCTAAGAATTATCATACAACTCTCCTCTACAATCACCAGGGATTTTTCTTAGAATTCCCTAGAAGTTTTCTCAAGATCATCCATTCCATAGCAAAACGATGTAGTGGTTCTCAGAATTTCGTAAAAATTAGTAGTTTTGTTCCTTATCGCAAAATATTCTTTTATTTTGTCATTCGGGTGGTCCAAAAATCGATTTTTTTCATCGCTGATTTTTTTACATGTCGTGTGTTTTTTTCTGAAAATTATTTTTGATTACCTCTCATTCGATTTTTGATCTTTGAAATCGGTCCAGTGGTTCAAAAGTTATAAATTTTTGAAAAAAAAAATGATTTTTAGAACCACCGGAAATGGTTACCCTAATGACAAAATTAAAAACAAAATGCGGATTTAATATTTTGCGATAAGGAACACAACTACCAATTCTGAGAACCACTATACCG